TTCCAACTCGCACCCCAAACACATATAATTTATTCGTTTTTGAAATTCGCTCCATTTTACGACAAACTTTATACTGAAAATACACTTCCAGAAATTTCCGATAATGCACTTCCGTTTGGACGATTAATTCAAGCGATACGAGAGTGAAAGAGCGATACATTAGATAAATTCATCTCTGACTACTGTTTGCATTTTTTTTACTATTAGTTTTTTCACTTTTTTTAATCAATGGAATATATATTAACTCAAAAACAATTCAAGTACAAAGGTTATCAATAAAATCCAATCTACCAACAAGACAAAACAAATCAAAAAGAGCCTATAACATCATTTTTGCTATGTGGTCTCTAAGCTTCTTTGAGCTCCAACCTCTATACACTATACTTTCTATAATCCTATCTTCAATATTACTATGCTTATCTTTACCAAATACAGTTTCATTTCTGAGCTGCCAGATTTCATACAAAGTTTCAGATATCGCAAGTTTCATGAGGTTTGCTCTCCACCCTTTTCGAGCAGTATACTTCAACATCCAATCAAGTTCCTCATGCCACCTTTTAGGAACATGGTGTAATTCCATCCAATCTAGAATATGTTTCCAAATTCCTTTAGTTATCTTGCAATAAAAAATAGATGATTGATAGATTCATCTACAGTCTTACACAGGCTGCAAACACTATCATAGATTATATCAAAATGAATAAGCCTATCTTTAGTCCCCAACTTTCCATGATAGATTAGCCATGATGTATGAATAGCACGAGGCTTGGCACCATTATCTTTGAATAGAAACCTTCAGTTTACACGAATGTTGTTGTCAATCAAAACATCGTACATTTCCTTCATATTAAACTTGCTATTACTCAGCATTTTATCCCAAATAGACTTGAATTAGGTGGTTAGGTCTCTTAAGATTTAGTATGTTTTTCATCACCCATGAGCTTGTTGTCCCTGCCACAACCTCCATAATGTTCCTCTTTTTCAAGTAATGCATATGCACCCACTTGACCCATAAATTGTCAGATTTGCTACCTAAGTTCCAAAGATACTTTAACAAAGTCACCTTATTCTAGACAAAGAGGTTGAAGATATCCAAACCTCCTTGTCTCTTAGGGCTACATATGGTCTTCCACGTTACAGGGCTCTTTCTACTAGGCTCATGGCTACTAGTCCAAATAAATGTTCTACTCAATGATTCAATCTTCTTTATCACAAAATTGGGAATATGAAGGCATTTCATCTAGTATTGAGAGATGGAAAAAGTAATACTCTTAACCAGCTGGACTCTCCAAGCATAACTCAAGAGTCTGGATGTCCAGTGAAGAATTCTAGCCATTATCTTGTTAATCAAAGGCAAGTAGTGATTTATATAAAGCTTTTTTGCGCACCCCAAGATGTCTCACTGGAAGTTGGACCTCTTCGAAAGTTGTGGTATCAAGCATCTTCACTTTTACTTTCCATGTCAATCCTTCCACGGTAAAGCTTACATTTGTTGGGATTATCAATCAAACCTGTAAATAAAGAGAAAAATATGAACAGTGTCAAGCATTATCTCCATTGTTTTAATATCTCCTCTACAGAATAGAAAAACATCATTAGCAAAGGTGAGATTTGTAAGCCCCATTTGATCACACTTTGCATGATGGTTAAAATTTGGATCCAACTGCATTTTATCAAGGACTCTATTCAGATATTCCATCATTATGAAAAATAACAGAGGGAAAATGGGATCCCCCAGTCTTATGCCACGTTTAGCCTGCATAAAACCAGATAATTCTCGATTGATGTTAAACACAAAGGTTACAGAAGTCACCATAGTCATCACCCATTAAATGAAAATATTAGAATGCCTATTTCTTGAAGCACCTTTTCCATAGCAAACATGTCTACCATATCATACGCTTTCTGAAAATCTAACTACATCATAGCCCTAAGAGTACCACTCTTCCTAGAATAGACTTTAACCTTATCAATACAAGAATAGATGAGATTCACACTCTGTTTATTAGACCAAGTAAAGAAGTCACATTTACTGTCTATCTGACACAACCCAATATTAAGCATCATATTATTCAGATCTTCAAACCCAACCTCTGTCACAAGCTTGCCCCCAATTTTGTCTTCTGCTTTAGCAACATTATTAAAATCTCCTACTACACACCATGGACCATGATGATTATTTTGCAGCATTTCTATTTTATTCCAGAGTTTTCCTCAAATCCAATTGATTATGAGCATATATAGCTGTCATCCAAAATTTAAAGCTACCAGCTATGTCATATACTTCACAATGGATGAACTGACTCGAACTATTGACATGTCTAATATCCAGCTTAATATTATCTCATTCAATCAATATCCTCCCATTAGCATGATAGTTGTAATTATCATATAACTACCATGTCTGTGAAATTTTTCTCTAACCATCTTAGCTTTATTTACTTTAACTCTTGTTTCTATCAAAATGATTATAGTAAGCTTAAGTTCTAGGAAACGAGAGCTTAAGCTTCCCAACCTTATTCAGCCCCTAACATTCTAAGAGACTAACATTGACCTCGGTCAAAAAGACCTACAGGGACATTCAAACCCCGTAAGGCCTCAAATCCATTTTTTGCACTTTTTATTTGGAAGCAAAACTAAACTATTTGTTTGGCTACAATGTCAAATAGTGATATTTTAATATTTACTAATTAGTTATAATTATTTGTTTGTCATTTATCATTATAATCATATAATTGAATTAAATAAATGAAAAATGATGAATTAAATAAAGGTAAATTATTTGATTAGATTTTAATTCTTTACAATATTATTTATTTATAAAGTGAATAGTTATTTATCTCTTACGAGTTTTGATTTACCTCTCTTTAAAATAAAATTTTGATTATTTCTCTATAATTTTTTGGATACCCCTAAACGTGTAAAAATGAGAGAAATAAATAAATATTTTTTTTACAGAGGATAGTATTTACACTTAGGAAGCAAAAAACTTTAAATTTTAACATTTTAAATAATGTATCAATTTTTTTAAAGGGGTAAATCAAAACTCACTTATATTGCAAGAGATAAATGACTATTAACTCTTATTTATATTTAACTAATGTATTATATTAATTTATTTTCTAATTTTATATTTTAGTGATTTTTATTTATTTATTAATATTATAATTTTCATTTAAATTTTTTTGTTAACTTAAAAAAATCATTGATATTTATAAATTAACAATTTTTATAAATAAATTAATTTAAAAAAATTAATTATTTTTTTAAATTGATAATTTATAAATATTCATAATTTATTACATTAATATATAAATATAAAAAATATTTGTTATAAACGATAGAATACTGAAAACTTAAAACAACATTTTACTTTGATTTAACTCAAGTAATATATTAGTTGAACTACCACACTCATCCATTTATTTTCTTTTATAATCTTAAATAATATAATTAAAAGTTTAATTAAAACAATAGAATTAATAATATTGACATTAGTAATTATTTTACTATTTTTTATTATTCACTTTTGTTATTAGTTTAAAAGATTGAACCAATTAAAGCATAATAAAGGTCACACTCCTTGGATTACCTAGTGTGTGTGGTTCTCAATCAAATCTTAACAATAAACAACCGACCATGTCAGATAGGTTGTTTATTTAGGTTGTCTCTTCTGATCATAAGCATAGTGCATGTTATGCCCGGTTCGGAGTGCATTTTGCTAACAAGAGGCATGGACAACATAAACCAATCATAATGCACTAGAAAGGCTACTAATGTTCAAGACAAAACAATTTTATTATGTTAAGTCAAAATATGTATAATTCCAAAAAAAAAAAACTTATAAAACTACCTAATCCATGAAAATGCATTGGGTAAATAATATACTGCAGAGTAAGAAAAAAGAAAACCAAAGTGCATGATATCACATGGGCATGTTCTTCTAGCTTAATAAACTCGCATAGTTAAATATTCTTTTACAAGTTAAACTACTGAAGGTTAGGCCAAATATTGGATTTATGGGGAAAAAAATCTATGAAACCTCTATATACTTGGGCTCTGAAAACCATATATAACTATGTAAACACAACAACAACGACATATTCCCAGCATGAAACAAGCAAACGCTAATGATAATCTGAATGTGGTTTAGAAAACAAGTTCATAAATGTAATTTTCATAGCGGAATTTTCAACTAGGGGTCAGGCTCACATCTGAATTTTCAATCGTGAATCCACCTACAACTTTCAAAACTATCAAGGGCAATGGAAAAATATAAATAATTCAGTACTTACCATTTCTCATCAAACAAAGAAGAAATCTCCTTCCATAAAGATCACTTACCCTAAAATTCAGTACTTGCCATTTCTTATCAAAAAGATCACCTAGAATCATAACAAAAAAATAAGATCACTTAGAATTAGAATGTCAGAATTATGATTCATTGTGATAATAAATATGGATTCTAGTTCATTAGTATTTATACTATAGTATACTCTATGTTCTAAACACTACATAATTTTTTTTGTAATGGAAGGGGATATAATTTTTATGGAATATCTCATTAGTCTGAACCAAATGCAGTATCAATTTAGTCTTCGGGGAAAGCAAAACTTCAGAACATGTTCCTATCCGTCTTCAGGGAGTCAAAATAAGCAGCTTTCTCTGGCCAAAGCTTATTTATGCGTCTGGCTACTTCATGCGCCACTGACTTATAATGAGGATTTATTGACACTGACACCGAAAGCAGAATTCGGTTAACTTAAGAGAGTGCGAAAACTGAATTAACAACACATCCAGTGCTTGTGGAATCTCAAACATGCAAATGAACTATGAAAATTGTTGGAATAACATAAATTTGATAAATCAGTTCTCGAGATGTACAGATGCACGACTGTGAACACCGTTTCCAATTGGGAGCGTCTGATTTAGTTATCGGCAAGGAAGGAACTGAGGCGAGAAATAAGATCGGAATCTTTTTTTGAAGGAAGGACCATCTATTAACTCTTAACTGTTTTTTCAAATCCAGATTGAATACAAAATTCTTTATACACGTCAAAATCTTCATGCCAATTAGACATTTTCTTTTTCAATAATGTGTATGCTTTTAAGCTCTGGTCTTCAAAGTTCTTCACAGGAGCATCAAACCTCAACTCGATTGGGCAAAGATCATCGAACATTTCTGCTCCAACAGATTCGGCCTGCTTGCAGGACTTCTCCGATACATGAAAAATAAATGATTCATAAATGTTATCATTACACTTTCCCTGTACACTGTCTGTGTCAGAGAAAGTCAAGGCAATTGGACGATATGTCGAAAAAGGTTTTGGTTTCGAAGAACTAGCCCAGGGATCCTCTTCCTCGCCAGCAAGGGAGACTGCATGATCATCAGGGCGCATAGAGCTGTGAGATGAAACAGCAATTTCATTAGCTACCTGCATTACTTCTTTGTATTTGAGGCCAAGCTCTGCTTCTACTGAAAATCCATCACTTCCCAAATCTGAGTACCCATAGCGAACTTCATTAATCACAAGTAAAACAGGGAAAGGAATAACTGGACCAACAATGTCATTGTCGCTATGGAGTGATGGTTTCCTTGAAAAGAATGGAGGCAATTGAGGAAGATCTGGAACAGCTAAAAATTCCAAAGGTACCTTGGTTTGGTTGAATCCATTGACTTCACGACACTCAGAATAACTCAAGAATGCTAACTGTAATAACTCCAAAGGCAAGTCAGTCCACAATTTTCTTAAGGCAACCTCGTGGAAGCTAGCTGGTAGCTTGACATCGTTAAAAATAGAAGTAATTGCGGGAGATGATCTTGAATGGCCTAATCCACAAGCATTTAATTTCTTACACAATAATTCATGAACTTCTGAACAAAAAGGCGCCTCCTCTTGATCATTTGAATAGGTCTTGTCTAATTTCGTAGTAAGGACTTGAGCAAGATTACCATTTGCATAAGCACAAAGGTAATCCAATTTTAAGTAATGAAGTTCTACAGATTTGTTTTCCTTGACACTCCTGGGACGCAGCAAGTGTGACTCCATACGTAAATCTGCTTCATGGCAATCTTCCAATTTTCTAGCCAGAGACCAAGAGGCATGATATCTCTGCAATTCAAACTTTCCTGACGACGTTATCCTTACTAGTGTAAAACCACCATGCTCATCTGGTTCACAGAGTAAGGAAGCAAGGTCATTGCTTAAAATGCCGAATCCCAAAACCATCTCTTTCTTTAGCTGCAAATCAATCCACTCAGGAAGTGCATCCTTCGACAACTCTTCCCTAAACAGACAAATTCCACAATGACACTCACGACTAGATAAATTGATCTCAGATGGAAGCTCCCAAGCACATAATGTTGTGCTAATCTTCGAAAGCTTTGAAGTGATAGAACCTTTCCGAAATGGAACTGTAGGTCCATAGCAGAATATATTGAACTCAGAATTCCAAAATGATCCCAATATAATACAAAACCCCATTTCAGAAGCCAACTTATAAGTATCTACCTTTGAATGAGATCTTAACATAGACAAGCTTAACACATTCATGTAACACGGTTCATCAATGTTGTGCTTCCATTGCAATATTGGCATCAAAGGCTTCCTTACATCACATAGAACTAAAAGACTGCTGGAAGCCACAGTGAAGTAAAAGTCATCAGGACCAGCCCTTGACAAAGCAAGAAACCGCTCGTTTACATCAGGAGCATACATTCGCAATGTCTCAATCTTCATTAGGCAAGTCACATTGCATTCTGTCAATCTCAAATCAACTAAAAAGACAGCATCACAACGTGCAACTATCAAAATCCTCGGATGCCAACTAAACTCACAGCTAAGCCAAGCCTTGTTTTCTTCGGAACTGGTCCAATCAAAATCACTCCATGGTACTCTCAACCCAGTCCCCTTGAAAACATTTGTGGAGCGTCGAGACTCCAAATCAAACAAAAACAGCCGGCCACTCTCTAACAAAACCAAACTCTCTTCCAATATATGAGGACTCCAACAAGCATGTACAACAGTTTCCTTAAACACTTGACTCGTTCCCAAATAAGACATAGCAGGAGTGTCCAAACTCAAATTATGATTCACAGTAAACCAAGAAACAGAATAAAGTGAAGAAGCCAACAAATATCCAATAACAAGAGAAGAATTAGAGAGGCCTCCAAGTCCAGAATCAGTAACCGGATTTAGTGAGATACGGAAGATACGGCTCTTAGAAGCCGTAGAAGCTCGAAAAACATTACCTTTCACATCAAGCTTAGTATCCAACACGGAGTCCTTAACACGCAACATAAAAAACCCGATATTCTCGTTGTTGGCACCGGTTGGGAAGAAAACAACAGCATTGGGGGTATCCCGGCAGTGGAGGAGTTGAATACGGCTGTGAAGGAAATGAGAAAGATTGTGGTCAATTACTTGATGGGGAGAATCAAAGAAAGGGGCAATACTGGAGGCAGTGGAAGGGAGAATGGAAGGATCGGAGGTTAGAAGGCAGCGTTCTGTGAAGAGGTGATGTGGGAGGTGAAGAGAGGGAATGGTGGAAGAAAAAAGATGGGTGAGTGAGTTAGGGTTAGGGTTGAAAAATATTGGACCAAGTGAATGAGGATCGGAGAAAAGAAGAGGGGATACAGTGGATCCACCTATTGGGAATAGGGATTTCCATTCCTCTGAAAATTCCATTGCTCCCCTTGCCATGCCAACTGATAATAATGATTATTGGCGACGGAGGAGAGAGAAGAGACTGTTATGGCGGCGACGGAGGAGAGAGAAGAGGCGGTTATGGTCGCGAGAGGAGGAGACACGGGGGCGGGAATACAAATACTAATAAATATCCGTGTTTATTATTTTAATATTGATTGATATGGTTGTTTAGATGTTGATTATTTATTAATTTATTATATTTCTATGGTAAATAATTAATGATAATATTTTAAAAAAAAAATTAACGATAATACTAATAAAAACTATAATTAATATTATTTTAAACTGTGAAATGACAGTTAAAACAAAATTGATAAAAAAAATAGTTATCCTAAGAAAGTTGTCAAACAAAAAAGTTGTCTACACAAATTATTAGACAGAGAAAAAGAAAAATATATAGATAACTCTGAGTATTGAAAGTATTAAAATAAAAGGTTTGTATAATATATATAGGAGAGACAAATCCAAGAGGTAAGAAACAACAATCTTTTTCGGTAGGCAAGTATTGCTACTTAGGAGAAAGGACTTTAGAGTCCAACTATATGCATTGTTATATAGATTAGTAGTAAATGCAAAAGTAATTTCTTTATAAAAAAGTTTACAAAGTTATTAAAATTGTCTCTTCAGTGTATTGGTAGAGTTTAAGACTTAACTAAAAAATGATAAAAATATAAATCGTTAGAAAATGCTGTTGTACTACACTTTCTAAATCTAAGTTTGATTGTTTACAATTTTTATAGTTTAAAAAACTTGTAATATTAGTATTTCATTTAGGTTAATTTCTTGATTTTTTTCCTTCAAATAATCAGATTTTTTTAAAAAAAAATTAAATAACTATATTTTTTAAAAATTTACTAAACATCTTTTTAAATAAAAAAAATTCATCATAAAGAGGAGTAACCACTCCATGTGACACATGCATACAATTTAAAGAGGAGACGTTATACTGCATGGTTTGTTCTCCTCTGTAAAACTATGCAGTGTGGCGCATGCTGTTTACAGTGATTTCTGGTAAACAACCGCTAGTCTTCCAAACTATCGAATAAACTTACTGACTGTTATTCAATTTCTCTGGTAACTCGCAGGATCGACTAGATTGATCCTAGGACGTGTTGGTTATTAGGGTAACTCCCATGATCGAACAGGCATTCATGGTTGGTATTCAAAATGTTGTGTAGGTGTTTAACTTATTTCGATTTTCTCTTAAAGATCTAAAGGTATGATCAAACAAATGTGCGCGAAACTAAATTGCATGAATAAAGGTCAATTGTAAAGACATGTAAAACTGCATAAAAGACAAGTAAATGACTTCGAATTATAAAACATTTAATGTAAAAGATGCTCTGGAATGTAAAAGATTCGAATTATGAAGAAAACGTTTAATGCAAGAAAACTGTAAAATGACTTTAAGTGAAAAAGGTGTTCGAAGGATAAAAACTTGAAGATAAAGGTATAAAATGTATAACAGTTTCTGAAATGTAAAGTATTTGAAATGGAAGGAAAGCATTTAAATGTAAGGCATCAGTGAAAAGATTTCGAATAAAAAGACTTTAGATGCAAAAACTTGTAAATGGTAATGATATAAAGATAAAGGAAAGTACTGGAAATGATACAGAGTTTTCATTAAATCATAAACATGTGGTGCTATCATACGTACATTGCTCTTGCATTCGTTTCCCTAGCCATGTGGTAATTTGAATGTTTACTGAGTTTTCTTGTACAATAGATATGACACACGAAATCCTAACGCTAAGACTTCTATTTATACTACTTCGACCATAACGGTCTTGCTATAAGATTCTGCCACGTTCAGAACATGCAGAGCAATTCCTCTCTTTTGCTTCCACGTGTCTTCGAATGCTCCAACACATATATTTCAAATTTCGAACATCCCGCTTGCATTTGATTTTCAAATGTTTTGGCATTTCTTTGCTTCGAACGCATTTCCTAGACACAACCTTGTTATCATTTCGAGACTTCTTTGGATATATTCTCATAACTGCCACTCGAAGCTCCAAGCTTTGATATGCTCATTCGAAGCATTGCTTCTACTATTTCGAAACATGACGTTTTGTTTCATTTCAATCGAAACGTCCAATTTACTTTGCTTCTAATAATATCATCAAAATCTCCAGCTAACAAAATGCCCCTTTAAAATATGTATTTCGATCCCTTTGAGAAATACTTATTTTAAACAGATACACAAGATTTTGATGCGACCTTCGAATCATCGCAACATTTATTGCATTTGACTCCAGTCACGTCAATCACAACGCTTTTCAGATTCCTTAACCGCCTTGAACCATTTCACAGTATGGTGCAGTTACAAAATAATGATTATCTTTAATCACGCCTACTACCAATGTTAATTTTACGCCACCTCTTCATCAAACCAACCCATGATTACCACGTATCACAACCTTACTCAGTGGATGCTTAAACTTCCACATTATAAAAACCCATCAACTTAGTCTTTTTTCTTTTCTTCCCACATTCTGAATCTTTTCTCCTTCTTTTCTCACCGAAACCCTAAGCTTTCAATATTCTTCCAACAATGTCTTCTTCTACTTCATCCCAACTAAAAAAGGTTTCCAAAAAGAAAGGAAAGACCGCAGGAACTACAATGGAAAGCAAGGTTGTCACTCACCAAGGTCAATCTGTTCTTGTTCCCCAGATGATCTCAAAGGAGAAAGAAATGCTTTATGCATCCCAGGTACTTATTCCTACCACCGCTGCTGGTAAGAGGTTAGCTTTAATGGGCCCTCTTATAGTTTTTGAAATTTTAAAAGACACCAGAAAAATTTTCCCAGTTTGCTATAGTTTCAAACCCCTGTTTAATAAAATGGACGCCCCTAAGGCAATAGAATCTTCTGGTTCAAACACCGTGGAAAATCCAATTGTTCCTCCTAAGGACCCTTTTGTATTGGACTATGTAAAGAGTAACTTCAAACCGTTTCGATCTTGCCCCACCTCCGACACTGCTTATCAAAACTGGTTCAATAAGGTAGAAGCTAAGAAATCTCAGCAATGGGAAGAATTAGGTATCTATAACTTGATTAAGCTGTCGAAGCCAGGTTTTACTTACAGCCACCCATTGTTATTCGCGTCCCTATATTTCTGGGACAGTACTTATAATACTTTCCATCTCCCTGGTGGAATGATTACCCCTACCTTCTTTGACATAGCGGCCATCACTGGGCTATCACCAGTAGGAGAAACATATATCCCTGACAACAAAGAACATTCGAGTATAATCGACTTCGAAGTCAAACTAGCAAGCTTTTCAAAGTTTATCAGCCATTACCATGCTGAAGGAGACAGTGTATCTGATGTAGAACACATTGCTTTCCTTACCTTATGGCTGTCAAGATATGTCTTTTGCAGTAGATCCCTACAGGTAGCCAGTAGGTTTATTCCTCTAGCTAGAGATTTGCACGAGAATCGAAGAGTGTGCTTGAGCGAATTGCTACTAGTTGATCTTTATGAAAGCCTAAGGTCAGCTGTTTCGAGCCTAAAATCTCACACCTCCAAGAATATCCTGTTAGCTGGCCCTTTTTGGTTACTTCAGCTATGGCTATATGCCATGTTCGAACCTTCCTTGTCAACTGCCAACACCATTGCTGAACAAGACCCTGAAATAACGGATAGAATGATCGAAGGCACTCGGCTGCGAAGACTAACCCCAAATGATGATAAGGATGACTTCAAAGTCCTATTCTCAAAATACATCATGATATTCTCCAAGAGGCATAAGTTCGAAGAGACCATGACGCCTTTTGCTTCAAGGGCTCATGGACCTTCATGGTTCACCATGGCTCTCTCAGAAGCTGTCAAGAGCAAAGAGATTCAGGATGTATGGAGAGCCTTTTTGCTACCCAGACTAATCTCTTCAAGAATAACTCCTGCCAAGAATCAGATTTTCCTTTTCGCTTACCAGCCAAATTTTGTTTCGAGACAGTTTGGCTTATGCCAACTAATTCCTGAACCCTTATTTCAAACTGAGAGTGCCATTACCTCTGGGCGAACTTTCAAGGCACGGGAAGCCAAACTGCAGCAAGAACAATACCAAGGCTTTGCCCAGTTTGAGCTAATAACTTTCGAACCTACCCACCTTACAGCAAAGGGGTTTCTGGAATGGTGGACAAAGTTTTATCAAACTTATATGTTCGATACTCTTACTATTCAACAGAAACTAACTGATGCCTTCGATGTGCAGGTACCATCCAAGAAAGGTATGTTCACTCATGCCAAAGAGATTAAAGCTTTTCAAAATTATTTCGAAACTACTTATGATCCCACACACTTGGAATCCACTGTGCATCAAGCGGCTGAGACCTTGAAGGAAAAATTCAAACAAAAAGTTTCTAAGTTAAAACTTCCTTCAGGGTTGTCACCTGAGGATAGGTATAGGTTGGCATTCGAAATGCATCCACCTAAATTTCCTAGATTACCTACCTCAGAACTGGCTCTGGCTTGGTTTCCTCCATACCCTTGGTGGTTCACTTGCAAAGAAATGTTCAAACATCTTCAAAAGAAACCAAAGCCATCTGAGACTGTGACATGGGCTCGACATTGGCTCCACGATTTCCCAGGACATCTTCGCTATGACCTTTCTGCCATGTCGATTAAATCTGATCAAGGCACAGGTGCGAATGCTTGGGAAAATCCCAAACGTTTTTCATTTTCCATATCTTTAACTTTTGCCTTAATTGTTTCGATTTTCAGCCATCAGGATAAAGACAGCTGCTTCAAAGTCGAAAGAAGGGAGCGCCTCTCAAGCCTCTATCGAAACCACTGACAATGTGACTCCATCCGAAACAACAACCATTGCTGCAACAACAACAACAACAACAACAATACCAACAACAACCAGTGTTCCAACTCCACAGGTAATCACTTAGCCTTGATGTTTCGAATTCACTAATGTTTCATGATTTGCATCTAACTCTTTGTTTAAATCTTTTCAGACCAACAAACTT